GCGACACGCCGCGTTTACACCAGCGTGTTTCGCGCTCCCCAGTGGCACGGCGCCACGCAACGCACTTTCCACCAAGGCCGCGCAAATCCGCATGGCACTGCGCCATCGCGAAGGTAATTTCGCCACACGTTCTGCCCACACGCTACAAGCAGTTCATATCACACGATACCGCCAATCATCCCGCTCACCAGCGACGCGACGCGTTTACACCAGTATGTTTCGCGCTCCCCAGTGGCATGGCGCCGCGCAAACGCACTTCCCACCAAGACCTTGCAAATCCGCATGGCACTGCGACATCACGAACGTAATTCGCCGCACGGTCTGCCCACACACCAGAAGCAATCCTATCGCACGATACTGCCAGTCATCCTGCTCACCAGCAACACGCCGCGTTTACACCAGCGTGTTTCGCGCTCCCCAGTGGCACGGCGCCACGCAAACGCACTTTCCACCAAGGCAGCGTAAGTCCGCGTGGCACTGCGACATCACGGACGTAATTCGCCACACGGTCTGCCCACACGCTAGAAGCAATCCTATCACACGATACCGCCAATCATCCCGCCCACCAGCGACACGCCGCGTTTACACCAGCGTGTTTCGTGCTCCCCAGTGGCACGGTGCCACGCAAACGCACTTTCCACCAAGGCCGCGCAAATCCGCATGGCACTGCGGCATCGCGGACGTAATTTCGCCGCACGGCCTGCCCACACACTAGAGAATCACTAGAAGCAATCCTATCACGACACGATACCGCCAATCAAAGTGTCTCCAAAATGAGCGTTTCGCACGAGACTTCCTCCAAAAAGTGAAACGCCAAGTCTCCAAACCGAGCGTTTCGCACGAGAGTTCCTCCAAAAGTGAAGCGCCAAGTCTCCAAAACGAGCGTTTCGTACGAGACTTCCTCCAAAAGTGAAGCGCGGGACATATCCAAAACGCAATCTCACCTGCCTTTCGCGCGCTCGACACGCAAGTCCATCTTGCCGCGCATCAAGTGCGAACTGCACATATCCAGGGTCGTTGTCGTACACATACTCAAACTTGTAGCCCTTGTACTTCCCAAATGCGAGAAGGTTGTTACCTGAGATTCCGCCGCCAGACGATCTCTCTGTTGGCGCCGTTGATGCTGTAGAGCGTCCTCCAGGTGACTGGTGTAGGTGCTCTAGTCCCGGTCGTGGGATCGGTGCGATCGCCTGAGCCACCGCTGGTCAAGGTACCATAACACAAGGTCGAAGCACTCACGATGTGATGGAACTCTTTCTGGGTCATGGCTCCGTGAATGCCCAAATGGTTCACCACCATGGTATTGAGCAGTCCTGCAAAACGACCCCACTCCTCCAGCTCACTGAAAAGCACCTCGCCGATCATCGTAAGCGATGCCATCCTGGACTGCAAAGCGCTGCCAAGGTTTGCGGCGGCTGTCCTGGAATTGGTTTGGCCACCCCAGCATCTTTCCTGACCGTCTCAGACTTCCCACATTTCTCGCATGTCCACTTCCAGACATAGCCATTGCTTCCTTTCCACGTGATCTGAGCGTGATCACATTCTCCCGTTGGAGTCGTCATAGGTCGATCCCCGGTTCGCGGCTTCCTCTCTTTCTTCAGCACCAAGCCGCAGTCCATGCAGGTCTCCATGTCGATGTAGGCATTTGTTCCACGTCGAATGTCCCATGGAACCACTTGCCATCTTGTTGGTCATGGATGTTGTCTCACCTGCGTATTGGTAGGGAGGGATTGCTGCTTTTGGAAAGGCCATCTTTGGTACGGGTTGGAGGCGTTTCAAATGGTCCTGAGCCTGATGCCGCTTTGGAGGTCGGCGGCATGAACTCAAGCTCGGTCCTCAAGCGTCGGTCAATCTCCTCTGGAGGTAATTGAAGAAGACGCTGCACCTCAATCTCCAAGGCCGGTTGCTGTTGCATGCCCAATGGTTCGGGCTCATGGTCTCCTGGATCAGCTCCACCTCCACGAAGTGCCATGTACGCCACGCTCTCCTGTCCGTGTTCTCCAAGCCGAAAGAGAAATAGTCCACCCGTGGCTTGTCGTTGCCCTTCTTGGACCCATTCTTGGAGTCCCTTTGCCATTGCTGGACGACGACTTCCCTTTTCCACCGAAGCTGCTGCCCTTCTTTCCTTTTGCTTTTGACCTGCGAGCTTGGCAGATTGGGTCCCGTGCCCAATGTCCCATCTGTCCGCACGCTCTGCGCTTGGATCTCTGCTTGGCAGCAAGGACCTTTGCCTGTCGGTCCTGACTCCCATAGGTCGAGCTCGTCACTTGCTCACTCCTCGCTGCTCTGATTGCATCCTGGTGTAGTACACCGAGATCTCTGTCTCCACCGCGTCAATCACCATGTCGAGGTCCTCCGCGCTGCACACCTGAGCATCGATCTGTTGGTCGGAAAACCATGCTACCACTTCTTCCTCGATCTCCCGTTCCTTGTCATCCATGTTGATCACAGCGTCATCCTCGGCAAAGTAGGACTCTTCATCCTCCTGCTAGGCCTGACACACATGGTTGTAGTTCACATCACACCACCAGCGTTCTGGTACATGGCGTTGTCGTCGTTGAAGTGCTCCTCAACAGCCCTTATGCCAACCTTTGGAGGGACTGTCGTGTTGCCCGGAGTCATAGTGCCGGTTCTCATGCCGCCCATAGTTCCCTTTTCCTGTGATCGTGTCGCTGCGCTGGATACCATCGTCCATCTCTCTGAGCTGCGTCCACCAGGCCGCTCTCCTCAGACAGTGTGAGCTCATCGGCTCACCATATACTGGCTTAACAGCACCCCGGCGCCGTCTCTCGCCCCGGCCTGATACAGCTCCATCGCTGCCTGCTTCCGTAGTGGCATCAGCTGCTTCTCCAACTCCTTGAGCAGTGCCTGTGATCCGTCGGCTTCCGCCAACCTGTCCACACCAAGCCGCTTCGCGACCTGAAGAGGCGGCCCCCAACTTCTTCTTCCCGGTCTCGCTCATGGTGGCCTCCTTCTTCTCCAGGGCTTGGACCGCGATGCCACATCACCTCCATAGCCTGGCAGTGCTTTCGGGTCCGACACGACCCATTGTGGTTTGTACACTCCGTACCGATGGCAGCTACTCCGCGAGAACTGGCAAGTTCGTGAGGTAGCAGGAGCCCTTTCAGCTCCGCTGCCAGTTTGAAAAACAAGCAGTGACGACCACCGCTGACAAGTCAAAGCTAGCACGCTTTTCCGCGTTGACTCAAGGGCCCTATGCCCCAAGTGGTTGAGCAAACCAAGCGAAACACACATGACTGACTCATGCCGGATTAGGTGTTACTTCAAGTTCTTCGCATTGGGCAATTACTCGTAGAAGTCCAGGTAGAATTCTGTGCAATCTCCTCAATGGTTGCCTGGTTCAATATTGGCCCAAATTTTGAAGCGGGCTGCCTGGTCTTTGTCCAAGGTTGCGTCATCCATTCTGTGCACTGCTCTCACCTTGTCCCAACAATGGCAAGATACAGGCTTGAAAAAATGACGTTTCCTACGGCTCGAACCGAGGTCACAACCGTGATGTCAACTGGTGGCAACCGAGCGAGCATGATGCAAACCTTACTGTTGACACACTTTGTCCTTTCAAAATTCAACGCATCCGCAGCCAAATGTAAACAGTTGCTCACTCACCCTACACTAGTTCATTGGCTGGCCTGACGACGGCGAGATTCTTCCAAAACTCGGCGTCGCAAACGGCGACTTCTACCTCCTCGCTTTGCAGGCCCGTCAAGATCAATGAAATGACATGTTTCAGTGGGGTGCGTTTTGACGCACCAAAATGGTTTTGCATCCCCCTCTGTTTGCTCTTTTTTGGCTTCCAACAGGTGATCCAAACTAAAGCAAATTTGCATCGCTTGTGATCTGTCCGGGCCCAGCCCGCATTGGCACAGATCCACCTGACCTGGAAACATAGCGTCGGCGTCACGCAGCTGAAATTGCGAAGGGTTCATTCTGTGTCGCTTGAGCTCGGTGAGTTCGTCGCTGCTCAGAAAAGAGTTGCTCAAGCTCCTGCGTTTGGAGCATAGCAAAATGTCTTCTGTCAGAATTGGCAACACGGAGCCTGGACATCGAAGCCATCCAGCCCTTCATTGTCAAGAGCTGACCACACCTTGGACATGTTTGTAAACAAAATAAACAAATCTCAACCAACACTTGCCATGGCTGGAACCATCAAAACAAACTCAAACACTGGTATGCAACTGACCACAGAAAAGTGTAGCTGCAACATGCTGCAAATAGAGTTCCAGGCATTGGTTTGCGCCTTGAATAGTTGGTCATCCAGCCTAGCACCAGCTACCGTACGGGCAAGGCAAGTATTGACGTTGTGTAAACGAAACATGAACTGGACATGTAACTATACATTTACATGAAAAAATATAACATATATATATATATATATACACGTGGATTTCATTGTGTCACAACAGCCTGTGCTGTAGCTTTTGAAAACTTTTAGAGGGAAGCTGGGTTCAAACACTCGAAGCTATCTAGTACGACGAAAAGCGAGTGGCGACCATCACGGTGAAAAAGCGAGGCTAAGGAAAGCATGCAGCGGGGTCGCGGGGTAAAACCGTCTTGAAAATTCAAGACGACCGAAGTTGCAAAATGCATGCGCAAACCTCCCGTACCTAACCAGCCTGGCAATTCGAGCAAGATGCGTCTACAAACGCTACAACCGTCAGCAAATACACGGAGGTGATCAGTCCCCGCTTCCCCCATCGTGAGAAAAAGCTGCGTTGGCACAGTCAGCCACTATAGGCCTGCAGGGTCTAACATTAGATACCCACAGGCTGCTTCTGATTCCAACGTGTATGCACACATACTTCCTGCATAGAGGTCTGCAAGATACTGATTCACCAGGTTACAGATGGTTACAGTCAGTGATTGGCTCCCCCGTGTTGTTTGTCAATGCTAAATGAAGCGCTGTTTCTCAACAAGGATTTGTTGCTCTTTTGGCTTTGCTTTTTGGTGCTGGGCTTGGCAGTTGACCCGAGCCAACTTCGTTCCTAGTCAAATACATACCCGCCTTGCCGGTCCAGGTGAAGCTGGAAAAGTTAATGCTGTAAAAATCTGCGCAACAAAGCAAAACCGTGCCGGTCAAAATCTTGCTGTGGGTTGACCACGCTGCAGCACATGGGACTTTCTTGCATTTTGCTGGGTTCCAGGCCGGAATCTGGCCAGTCTTTCCCTCAAAGTTCCCCACTTATAGCCCGGTGTTAAACTATATGTTCTCTATTAACTGTGTTTAGTGGCGCTCTTAGAAAACCACTCCCTTCTGAATTGCCCACACTGCGACCATATTGTCATAGAAAATTATCCACCTATGACCATGCCTATGACTATGACAGTCCTTACATGCATGACGAAGTGCACCAATCTCCAATCTCAAGATCTCCATCTTCAAGAACCATGCTTGAATCCAGGGCTATACCTCCCCATGCGCCACCCCGCTCCCTCATGTCGGAAGCGCTGGCATGCATGGTGCCCGATTGATGTCGCACGTGAGAGACACATCCTTCGCAAAACCAGGCCACAACCTCGTCCTCTTGCTGTGGTCACCCGTGATGGCAGGTCCAGGTGTGGTTGAATGCAGTGAGGCGTGCGCACAAACCCCCGCACTCTCGTGTCAAGACTCTGGCTAGACAAGGCATCCATCATGACCTTCTGCGCCTCATGAACCCAAGACCACTAAATCCCAGGGTTGCCTCCTCCGGCATACCCAGGCCCAGCCCCAATCGTGATTTCGATGTCTTCTCCGAAAGTGTCTAGTTTCTGGCAGGCTCCTTCAGTTGAAACCCGTAGGGAGAACGCCATCATCGGAGCTTGTAGTTCTTGAAGTGCTGGCTGCTGGCGGTGGATGACCCCAACTTCCCTTCACCTGATGCGTGCTCCACTCTGACCCCAGGGCGTGATGGTATAGACCAACAACCTGCTAAGCGCTTTTGGCACACAACACTGTTAGGTTGGGCCTGTTACCCATCTGCGCTCAACCTCACAGCCTGCCATCACACTGAGAGCCCTGATATAGGTCTCTGCCTGAGCAACAGCCGCCTCAACCTCGCCTCATTTCTAGGGAAGCCATGATCCATAGGCACCCCTTGCGCTTGCCCATTTTCTCCACTCATGGTCTGGCAGAAAGAACCCGCAAAAAAAACACTCCGTTCTGGGCACACTATTTTTTGCACTAGAGGTTTGCAACAAAATGGAAGACAACCAACATATACAAACGTATATTTGAGGGCTAAGAACAAATTCAGGAATTCCAAAGAATTGTGAACATGGAAGAGCTTCGACAAAATTGGGCCAGCCGCTGTCTTGTCTGGCTTCATGAGAAACTTTGTGAAATGTTGTTGTCGTTGTCGTGGTGGTGGTTGCGGCTGTGGTCGTCTATTTTAGCGCGTTCTTCTTTATAAAAATCTTGTTCGTGAAGGGGGTTCCGAGAGGAAGTGAGGGCAGCTGAGATTTGTAGAGAAAAGTAAAGGCGAGGTTTAGAGAACAATAGCAAAAAGGTTCATCAAACCTCGGTGTTTGTAGTTTGTAGATAATATTTTGGTCGGGTTGCACCACGACGGTGACTGGCAGAAAGCGTGTCTTGGAAAGGTCTACCAAAAAGGTGCCCTACAAACGCTCTTGATCAGGACATCTTGCCTTCCGGTCAATGAAACTTGGGCAACGTACAGGGGCCAATGTTCTTGTACTGTTCTAAGGAAAGCGCTACAGTGCACTCTGCGGAATCCTGCTTGAAGGGGCACTACGCTTGAATTGAGGCTCTTAGCAGCCCTAAAAGAGCCTTTCAATTTAGTTGATGAGATCTCTTTGAAGTGCTACAGGGCCCAAGAAGGAGCAACAAGCGTGGCTGGCGCAAGCCTGACCACGACTAGTTGGGGAAGAAGATGAGGCTGGCTCTCTCTCTCTCTCTTTCTCTCGCGGGTGGCGTGTTGGTCTAGAGTCTAGAGTCTAGTTGCTAGTTCATACAACTGCCCAATCGCCCAATCATGTTCAGCCGAGCCAACGACAAACTGAGGAAGACGCACGAAGGAGTTCCAAAAGAGTTTCTTCATGGGTCTTTGCGGTTTGATCTCGGCCTGATTGTCAAAACCCTGCCTACCAAGTGCAGCTTGCATCCAACTCACACATTTACGTTTGCGCCTTGTGCGGTTTGGGGTTTTCTTTGGCTTTGGCCTGCAAGCGGGTGTCAAGCCAGGCCCCACCACCTTCCCACTCCCCCCGCGCAGTCACGCGCGCACGCCAACAAGTTCCCGACCTTGGGCGCCAAAGTTCGAGCAGGAGCCTTGCAACAACTCGGCGGGACATGGCTCAACAAGAGGCGCCATGAGTGCCATCAACTTCATCATGATTTCCAGCCCGAAATGCGAGTGTAAAAGTTCTAAAGTCCAACAGTTGTACAGTGTGCTGTTCACTTTCCAGCATGCCAAGCCTTCGGCACATTGCCTTTGCCTTTGCTACCCTGACCTTCCAAACGTGGAAATGATTGTCCGTACACATGCGAATACAAATGTCACAGGTCACATACATGTAGTATGCGCTTTATACAGCGTAATGTATATAGCCCATATAATCCAACATGTGAAAAATGCATCCAATGCCAAATTCAACCATACGTTTTCTATATCTTTTTGATAGTTTACTACTATTGTAAAGAAGACATATATGTACACAAATATTTTAGACAATACAATGTGTATATTGTAGTATGCTATATCGTAAACAAACGAGGCATCATACATGACATGGATGTGCACGACTATAGACAAATTATGTGGCGTATGGCATACTATGAATGCTACGAACTATAGAGAAGCAAGAATACAACATAACAGAACAACAGAAAAAATAATTTCAGAGACCCCAAACTGTGTGAGGTCTAGAGGTGCAGCAGCAGAAGTCTCGACACATTGGGTTCAGAGAGGTGATGGCGGCGAAGAAGGTAGAGATCGTGGTGATGGTGGCGGTGGTGGTGAGTGAGTGTGAGTGTGAGTGTGAGTGTGAGTGAAAGTGAGAGTGAGAGTGAGAGAGTGAGAGGGTGAGAGTGAGAGAGTGAGAATGAGAATGGGTGTGACTGTGAGTGTGAGTGAGAGTGAGAGTGCGAGAGGGAGTGAGAGAGTGAGAGGGTGCGAGTGACAGAGTGAGAATGAGTGTGGCTGTGAGTGAGTGCGTGCGAGAGTTTGAATGAGTGAGTGAGTGAGTGAGTGAGAGAGAGAGAGTGTGAGTGTGAGTGAGTGTGAGTGTGAGTGTGAGTTAGCGAGAGTGAGTGTGAGCATGAGTGAGAGTGAGCTTCAGCGTGTGTGAGTGTGAGTGTGAGTGAGAGCGAGAGTGAGAGTGACAGATAGTGAGAGTGAGCATCTTAGAGCACAAAGCGCTGCGCCTGCCACGAAACCTGCGCTTCGAGGTTCACAAAGTGCTGTGCTTGCTACGAAATCTGCACTTCGAGGTTCACAAAGTGCTGTGCCTGCCACGAAATTTGCACTTCAAGGTCCACAAAATACTGCACCTGCCACAATTTCTGAAACCTGCCACATGTAGAAAAGTCACGATTCACTGCGCCTGTCACGAAATCAGCGGTGAAGATCACCACCATGTCCAAAGTGCTGCGCATGCCACAAAATCTGCACGTCGAAGTAAAACCGCTCCGATCCCTTACCCGTGTCGGGAAAAGTGGATTTTGGACCACCAAAGCAGGTTTCCCTTGCGCCTGCCACGAAAAGTGACTGCCATGTCCGAAAATGCGCACGGCGCCGCAACGAGAGCGCAGTCGCGAGAAGCACCCGCCGCGCCCGCGCAGATCTTGCGACCCTGCGCAGTCGAAGTGCACTTCGAGGATTTCGAGAGGCATGAATGTACTGCAAATAGCACCGAAATAGCCGGGCCCGACCGCGCAACACCTCGATTTGACACCGGTGCTTAAAGTCAATATGTATTACAGTATACAAGCGGAAAATCCCACAACACTATGTATATATACTATTATACTTTCCTAATTACAACAACGTAACATATATACTCAAACAAACATTAAAAACACATCTTTCTAGCCCGCATATGTTTCGCACACGTCAAACAGCTGAGCGCAAGGAACCGCACTTTCCCAAACATCATAGAACTTGCCGACCGAGGATAGGCTTCCCAGCTAGGTCAAACATTTTTGCTTTGCATATTCCCTGCGCTCTTGGGCCAACAATCCTCAAGCGTTGCATCATGGACATCTCAATCTCAATGAGATTGACCAACTCGTGCGCGCAGTCGGCAGCAGCAGTGACAAGCGCACATTGCAGCAAGCGAGCGGCTGCCCAAAACGATACCACCAATCATCCCGCTCGACAGCCACAAGCCGCGGTTACGCACGCGCGCGCGTTTCTCTTTCCCCGATGGCACGCGGCCATTGCAGGCGCACTTTCCACCAAGGCCACGTGTGGCACTGTGACACGATGATCGTTATTTCGCCGTTTCGCCGCGCCAACACGCATGGCACAGCGACACCAGAGACTTATTTTTGCCGCACTGTGCGCAAGAGACTAGATGCAGCCGTGTGGCGACATGGCGCGCTCACCAGCGACACGCCGCGTCTACCCGTGCATGTTTCCAGCTCCCAAATTTGTCAACTGGCACAAACACGCGAAAACGTACTTTCCACCGAAGCTGGGCAAAACCGCGCGGCGCAGCGACGTCAGAGACGTTATTTCGCCGCGCCATATGCCACAGACTAGACGCAACCTTTGTTATGTGACATGGCACCACCAATCAAGCAACGCGCCGCGTTTACACACTCGTCCGTCCCTTCTCCCCAATGTATGGCGCGGAGCCACGCAAACGCACTTGGCTGCGCCAAACTGCATGGCGCAGAGACATCACAAACGTAAGTGCAACAATTCATGAACATGAAACACAGTTGCCGAACATGGTCCACAGCGTGAACTTCACACTGGGTATTTTGATGTATTTTGGCAGTTTGGCGCTTCCCACTGCGATTGATTGTCAGATTTCCTTTCCTCGCCAATGATGAGTATTGCCCTCATCGCAACCATCCTGAGGATGAGCAGTGAGGCTGAAGAGTTCGTGTGTTCTCTTCACCACTGCGGCCACACACAACAATACCAAACAGAGTGATCAAACGGGACGGAAACCTTGCGCAGGCGCTGAATTGCCAATCTACCCCCAAGGGCAAAACACCGCGCCAGTGCTTGATCATGCCAAAGCAAAGCTCATTCAGCTTACGAGTATTCGTGCTCTTGCTGCGTCCCCACACCTTTTATTTGAACACTGCGCACCTGCCTTCACCTCTGAACACCAAGTACTTCACGATGCCCTGATGCAAACCTAAGCGCACTGCGCATCTATACAACCATAACTTGCTCGCATGTCTCCCTTGTGAAGCAGCACTAAGGTTCATGGTTGGGTACTCACGAGGCACAGTCATGCCACGGAAGCGAGAGAAAGACAGAGAGAGAGAGAGAGAGGGAGGGAGGGAGGGAGGGAGAAGGGAAAACAAACAGAAGGAAAGAAAGGACAATCACATACCAAAACGAAGACACGGCTTCCCCAAGGCTAGTAACCTACTGAGAATGAATGTGAACATGGCAAACACTTGTGCACAAACACTCCGGCAGCGACCTCTAAATTCCTCCCTGGCCTTTTGAACCTTCTTTGCTCTTCCCCTTTCCGTCGCCACCAACTCCTAAACAAGGCTGAGACGATTACAATGCCTTTAAGTTTCCCACACTGCAATTGACATTCTCAATTTTTAAGTCTCTTGTTTGAGAAGAAATGCGTGGCAGCTGGTCCATTACCAACATTTATTATTGATGACTTTCGCCAGAATCCTGTTTCCCCATGTCGCAATTCAAAATATATCTACCCAGGATTCTGTGTTTGGTTTGGAGCGCACAAACCTTGACGGGCACGAAGAAACACAACCTCTGTACCTTGCTTTGGATGCAATCTACGACCTGATTCACGCTCCAATTCCGAAGAGAGTGACTTGCAAAGCAAGAAGGGAGGCTATCGTGTACAGTACTCATCAATGATCAATGGAGGCTGGTGTATCTGATATCACATACATCCAAGAAGCCTCCATCCGGAGATTTGCTGTCGCCGCTCGCCTCACCAAAGGTGCCACATGCCTAGAAAAGCACTGACCAAAGAACCATTCTATTTACGCAAGGTCCCAGCTCAGGCAGAAATGCTTGAAGTTTGGGAATTTGAGGAGTGATTTGGGATGCCCCATGAAACAATGATGCTTCGGACACATGGAATTTGGGACTGTGTTTGGTTTGCGGGCTTGCCTGCTTCACCTCATTTGCAATGCTCCCATCTTTCCTTCCATTCTTTGTGTCCTGCAGAAAACTGAATATGGCTTCACATTTGGGAAGTTGCCACCAGGCTAGTTGTCGTAGTAGTTTGTCCTTCGGGCATTTCTCATGTGGATTCGCCTGCGGTCCGTGACAACGCAAAATTTTTGTCGCCGACCCCAAGTCCTACAAGCAAGTTGGGCCACATTGCTCCGTCTGCTCACACCAAGCTATAGCATCTTGGATACAACTTTCGGGGCTTGGCAGGAAGCAAACTCAGCAGGCCCGCTATATAATAGGCACCGCCAATGTCGACACTCGCAATCTATGTGTCTTATGTTTATCGATTCTTATAGCCCCCTCTGCCCCTATCTACACCTACTCCTACTCCTACTCAGTACTCCTACTACTGCTACTACTTCTACTACTAATTAGTACAAACTACCACTATATAACTCTAACTACTACTAACTCTAACTACAACAACAACAACTACTTCTACCACTAAACACTACTAACTACTACCAACTCTAACAACAACAACAACTACTACTACTACT